AAAAAAAAAAAACAAAAACGAACCCCACAAAACTCCAATATGGTACTGGCACAAAAATACAAAGGTAGACCAATGGAATCAAATAGAGGACACACAGCCAGGTATAGTGGTACAAGCCTGTCATCCCAGCATTCTGGAAGGCTGAGGCAAGAGGATAACAAGTTCAAATTCAGCCTGTGCAATATAGGAAGATCCTGTCTCAAAATAAAAAAATAAGTAAGTGCTTAGGGTACAGCTCAGTGAAAAGGTCCTGGGTTCAATCCCCAGTACTGAGGAGGGGGAAATAAGGAAAAAAGGACACAGTGACAAACCTATCCAACTATGGCCATCTGATTCCTGACAGAGCCAAATAAACATATGTTGGAGAAAAGACAGTCTCTTTAACAAATGAGGGTGGAAAAATAGAGATATACATGTAGAAGATTGAAACTAGATTCCTCTCTCACCTATACAAAAATCAATTCAAAAATGCCAGGCATGGTGGTGAACATATAATCTCAGCGCTTGGGAGGCTAAGGCAGGAGGATTGCCATGAGCTCAAGGTCAGCCTGGGCTATATATAGTAAGTCAGTCCAGGGCCAGCATGAACAACATAGTGAGACCCTGTCTCAAAAAGAAAAAGGATCTAAGACATAAAATTTTGAATCTGCTAGAAGAAAATAGGGGAAACACTTGAAGCCAGAGACATAGGCAGACTTCTTGAACAGAACTCTAATACCAAGAATCAACAAATGAGCCTATATCAAAATAAAAAGTTTCTACACAGCAAGGGAAACAACAAAGGGAAGAAAAATCTTTGTCAGCTACTCTTCTGATAGAGGATTAATATCTAAACTATAAGAACTCAAAAAACTTAAGACCAAAAAATCAAATATCCCGATCCATAAATGGCAAGTGAACTGAACCAATCCAGCTGGTCATGGAGGCATATGCATGCCTGTAATTCCAGCACTTGGAAGGCAGAAGCAGGAGGATCACAGCAAATTTAAGGCCAGCCTGGACTATACAGTAAGTTCAAGGCCAGCCTCAACTACATAGCAAGACCCCATTTCAAAAACCAAACAAAAATAACAAAGGAAGGAGCTCTGGGTGGTCACGGGACAGAGAATCAACATCTAGAATATACTAAGAACTCAAAAAATTAGACTCTTCAAAATAAAAGACCTGATAAAAAAATCGGCAAGTGAAATGAATAGACACTTCACAGAAGAGGTACAAATGGCCAAAGTTAAAACAACAGAGATACCATCTTACCCTAGAAAAAAATGGCTGTCATAAAGAAATCAAATAACAAATGCTAGCAAGGCTTCAGGGAAAAAGAAACCCTTCTACATTGTTGATGAGAAGGTACACTAGTACAACCACTATGAAAATCCATATGGAGACTCCTCAAAAAACTAAAACTAGAAATTCCATTTGACCCAGCTATTTTGCTTTTATGTATCTCCCTGAAAGAGTTAAATACATTATATTACAGCGATACATGCATACTCATGTTTACAGCAGTGTAATTCATAACAGCTAAATTTTGGAAGCAGTTTATATGCTCATACACGGAAAAATAGATAAAGAAAATATGGTATTCAAACAGGACAGAGTACTACTCTGCCATAAAAAAGATAAACTTGTGTTATTTGTAGGAAAATGGATGTACCCTAAGGCCATAATGTTAAGTGAAATAAATCAGATGAACAAGCTTAAACAAAACCCAAATTATAAATAAAGGCAAAATAAAAGATAGATAATAAGAAGTAGGGAGACAGATCTTTCTCAAATGGGAAGGGGATCAAGAGATACAGGGAGAAAGGAGAGAGGGGAGGGAAAGTGGAGGAAAAAGGGAATTAAGATGTGTTATGTACATGTACCAACTGCACACAAGGAATATAAATATATAAACATACACAAACAAAAATTTTTTACATGTTAAGATTTGAACTTGGGAAAAAAAGGAATGCTGTGTGGCATGACAGCACATGCCTATAGTCCCAGGAGAGAGATCACTTTGAGACAAACCTAGGCAACATAGCAAGACTATCTCATAAAAAAGTTAAAGGAATGCTATAAAAAGGAATAGTCAGAGAACAAAAAAGAATTCTTAGAAATCAGAAGAGAAGATAAAGACCAAAAAGTGTACCAGGAAGTAAAACAAATAGACCAAGAACTGGGCAAGAGGAAATAAGATCTGAGAGTGGATCCAAGAGATCCCCCAGGAGACTACCCAAAGTTCTTGTGAAACAGGAGACAAATGTGAAAAGCCAAGGAGAAAACATGCAACCTAGCTTTGAAGGACACATCCCCTTCCCCAAATGTGGCTCAAAAGAGCTCCATTAAAGTACATCCTTTAGGAATGTCAGGTCAAGGAGGAAGATAAGACCTTAAGACGTTCCAGAGGCAAATTCTAAACTGCACCAAGAACCAGGAGCCAGAGGTAAATAGCTCCTTCAACAGCAACACTAACACTAAACACTACAACAAAACATGGTTTTCCATGCTAGATGAACAGCCAACTCCCACTGTGCTTCTGCTTCTAGCAGGCCCCTTCTGTTACCCAGGCCCCAGATGGCTAAGTAGCTCAGACCCAGGGGCCTCATGGCAAAAGCACTTATATCCTCACACATCAGATGCTCCTCCTGGAGTGACTGTCTGGGATTGAGCCTGGTCAAGGGTACATAACTCCTTCTCAGTGACTGCACAAAAAGTGATGCAGAACAGAATGAAGAAGGGAGTGCTATTGATTGTTTCTCCCCCAGTCCCTATACATCTTTAAAAAAAAATGTTTGTTGCCAGGGCTTGATGGTGCAAGCCTATAATCCCAGCACTCAGGAGGCTAAGGCAGGAACATTGAGAGTTTGAGGCTACCCTGAGCAATATAGCAAGACCCTGTCTCAAAAAAACAAACCACATATGCCATCAACCCATAGAACTGAGCTGTCCTAAGTTTTATTTCATCTGATAGAATCCTACAGGTAAAGAAGCTATAGCTCAAAAAAGTCCAGTACCCTGAAACAAAACCAGGGGTTAGCAGAGCCCAGGGTCAGTACCCACACCTGCCAACTCTTCCATTTCCCACCTGCACCCACTTTCCCAACATTACTCCTGGGCCCAGTAGGCTCTGGGGATGACCTTTAAGAATATAGGCTACCCCAGGATGCCACAAGAGGCCCAAACATACCTCTTCTAACCGTGTGCGCTTCTCAGAAGGCTCTGATCCGTCACTGTCATTTCCTGAATGCTCTTCATCCTCCTCTTCATCCTTAAAGAGGTCTTCATAGGCAGGAACTTCAAGGTCATCATCTTGTTTAATGAGTAATTTGATCTAAGTTTAAAACAGAAAAGCAATCAAGTCCCTCATCTCTCCTTGAAAAACTATCAATCACGTGTTTTTCCCCTATAGAATCTTTATCATTTCTAATTAGCTGACTCATAAGTTTTCTGTACATACAAATAGCTACTTGTCTGAGAAGATTTCAGACTTCTTAGGCATTTACCACATGGTATGCAGAAATTATAAAAAACCTGAAAACAATTTTTTGAAAACCACCTACAGTTTACTTAAGTCTGGAAAAAAAGCTCCCTCTTATGCCATACATTAACAAAATGAATGTTCCACAACTTGGATGCTGATGAAAGATATGAAGATGTTGCTATGGTTTGGATGTCGTTTGTTCCCACAAAGTCACATATGCTGGAAGCTTGGTCTTTGGTATCATGGTGTTGAAGTGGTGGACCCATTGAAAGCCAGGCTTCCTGGAAGGTGATTAGATTTTGGCCACTCCGCCCTCCAAAGTGGATTAATGTTGTCTCTCAGGAATGGGTCAGGTCTCCTAGAAGCGGTTCCCTCTGCAAGCATGGGTTGTTTCAAAGTTGTCTCAGCCTACACTTTTGCTTCCTGTCACAGTATATGAAATTGCTTTCTCCCTCTGTCTCTTTCCTTTTCACATGATACCATCCATGAGGCCCTCACTATAGTCAAGCCAAGCAAATGCTGGCACCATGCTCTTAAATTTCCAGAATTGTAAGCTAAATAACTCTGGGTTGGTTGGTTTGTTTTTGTTTTGTTTTTTGAGACAGAGTCTCTCAATATAGTCCATTCTGGCCTTGAACTCACTATGTAGCTCAGGCTGGCTTCAAACTCACAATCTTCCTGTCTCAACTTCCCAAGTGATAGGACTAAGGCACGTGTCACCACACTCAGTTAACCTTTTTTTTTTTGGTTTTTCTCCGGTACCGGGAACCGAACTCACGACCTTGCGCTTGCCAGGCAGGCGCTTTGCCGCTGAGCTAAATCCCCAGCCCCCTAACCTCTTTTCTTTATAAGACACCCAGTCTCAAGCCAGGCATGGTTGCACATGCCTATAATCCCAGCACTCAGGAGGCTGATGCAGGAGGATTGTTGCTTGAGTTCAAGACTAGCCTGGGCTACAAAGTGAGCTCAAGGCCAGCTTGAACTGCATAGCGAGACCCTGTCTCAAAAACAGACACACACACACACACACAAAAAAAAGATACCCAGTCTCAGCTATTTGCTTATAGCACTACAAAATGGACGAAGACAGATATGGACTCCTAAGTGAACACAACTCTCATCTCTAAAACCAATTCCAGACTAACTTCTCTTGGATAGGTTCCTCCTATGAGAATGTCAGGATCTCACACCTTGGTAGATAGAAAAGTTCAAGTCCACACCTTGGTAGATAGAAAAGTTCACGTCCAAAAAAGCACAGCTGACTTGCTCAGTGCTAGGTTATGTGCTTGATGTCCCAAGTTTCAAAGAATAAGCACAGTAGAGTCATTTCAGGCCACAAAGTTCTGGTCCCTATACCGTTCAGGTCAAGCAAATTCCATAACTGCATTTAGCACAAATCCAAGGGCTAGGTCCCATATCCATCATCAGAGATAGACAAGACCAGGTTCTTATAGTCAGGCTATCCACAATCCCACAAGGGGACTGAACACACACTTCACCCATAAAGCCAGTTGCAACATTATACAAGGCATAAAAAGGCACAGATAGGTTGAGCAGATAGCACACAAGAGGAGAAGCCCCCAAGGCCCGGGTACCTGAGTGTCATTGTACACATTCACAACGTTGACTGGCCTGTGGGTATCACACACAAAGAATATAGCATCTTCATCAGGCTGAAGGATATCCAGTAGATCTACATTAGCTCCACAGTTTATAAGAATAAAATAACGGAACTGAAAAAAGAAGGGAAACATTGTAAAATAATTGCATTGAGGAGGCCCCTTCTCCTTCACCACATTAGGCCTCTGAGCGTGGACTGAGACACAGTAAGCCCCTGAAATGTAGCAAGGCGCAGATGTACTAGCAAGAGCCTCAAAAAACAGCCAAGTCTGACTTGTGCTAAGGGCTTAAACGTATTCTATAGGTATTTCATCTCCAAAGTAACACTATGAAGTAGGCTCTCTTGCCTTCTCCACTTTTTGAAGAGCATGGTGGAGTTCAACAAACCCAAGTCTTGTACACCAGGGTCACGAAGCTCATAAGGATCAGAACTTGACTTCAAAAGTGTAATGGGGCCTCTTCAGTTCTTGGTATATCTGGACTGCAGCACCTCTCTGTACTAATAGTATTGTACAGATTGAAGCTTTTAGCACATCTTGGGTAGTCCACACTTTATGGGTATCTAAATAGTAAATTTTCCATCACACTCTTATCACTATAGCAAAACCTTTCCTTAGAAATACTCAACTGGCATCAGTTCCTCAAGTTATGACCAAAACTCCAAGGGAGAATTTATCTCAGCCAAAACAGTCTTAGAAGTGGCCAGGACCCTCTTCCATGTCCCAGCCCCTCATTTGCAGCCCATAATATCCCATTTCTCATTTGGCTCCATGCACAGTGGGAGGACTCCTGGCCTCTGCTGTTTAAATTCCAAATGGACAATATTCATTTCTAAACTTATAGTTGAAAACTGGGATGCATTTTCTTAAAGAGAAAACACAAAATAATGATGTATTCTAAAATAATTTTAATGAAGTCATATTAAAAACTGCTAAATTCCAGGCATCTTACAATCAAATTTCTGCAAAGAAAATTCAAAGTTAAGTGATGCCACATTCAATATTTTTTTTTGTCAATTCTGTCTCCTTAACTTAAAGGTAAGTCATCAATATTACACAGCATGCTTTTGTCTTCCATGTTGCCTAATGAAGCTGATAATTATCTCATGAACCTACTGGAAGTAGAAAGAACGCTAAGTATGAAATAGTAGTAACTGAGTAAAAAATAGCCTAATTATTCTAAAATAAATCTTTCATACCTGTTCTTTATGTTCAAGATATGCAGTTTCAAGTTCTTGCCACCCAGAAACTGGAACCAGCGTGTACTGCACATGATCACATTGAAACAGAGCCTGGACAGACAGCATTTTCAAGATTATCTTATTTAGTATGCCCACGATTTACTTTGAAATACATAAGGGAAAGAAAAAAAAAAAAAACTAGAGACGCAAAAGGAAAAATAAGGTAACAAGGTAAAGTTACTACATTTTTTTTGTTGTTGTTGTCTTTTTGAGACAGGGTCTCACTATGCAGTTCAGGCTGGCCTTGAGCTCACTTTGTAGCTCAATCTGGTCTCGAACTTGCAACGATCCTCCTGCCTCTGCCTCCTGAGTGCTGGGATTACAGGTGTGCGCTACCACGCCCGGCTTTATTTACTTACTTATTTATTGGTGGTGCTGGGGATTGAACCCTGGGCCTTGTGCATACAAGGCAAGAGAGGTACCACTGAGCCGCATCCCCAGCCCCAATTACTAAATATTAATGGATAAGTTATGTTGTAGGGATGTGCATGCTCAACGTACAGTTCAATTTCGCTGAATTTGTGAAAACTGCCAAAATTCATCTTAATTTCAAATGTTCTGAAAAGTTCCTGATCCAAGTTCAGTGTAAAACTGCATCATATTCAAAACCAAACTAATGACTTTCCCTAGTAGACGAGGGACTCTTGCATTTCAGTGATGCTGACACCACTATACCTCAGTTGTCAGAAACTCCTCTCTCAAACCCTGCATTTGAGAACGTCCAAAGCCCTCCCAAATGAAGCCATTTTTCCTGCCTGACTCCTTGTAAAAATACTACTCTCCTCGCCTTCTACATTCCCCTGCTCTAACCCCCAACACTGTCCAGGCAGGAAGGTGACTTCACTCTCCCTCCTCTCACCTGCTCCCCACCTCCCAACCTAAACCCACCTTACTCCACCACCTCTGTGCAAGCCCACACTGTTCCCTCACTTCTCACCCTGGTCCACCCTCCTAGGTCCCCAGGACTCACCTGAAGGATTTTGCAAGCACACAGGGCGTCCACGTCCGAAGCCACGAAGAGAAGGACTCTCTGTTGGGGGTGGGGGGGAGAAGGTAGTTCGCGGCGACCTGAACCCTGGCTGCTCCCCAACCTCCAGGCCCACTATGGACACTCCCCCTCATCCCTTCCCCACAGACAAGGCTTCAGCCAGGGTCCTGGGCTATTACCTGGCTCTGGACCAGATCGTAGAACTCCTTGCGAAAATCGGACACAAACATAGCCTCGGCAGCAGGACAACCGGTACTTGCCCTGAAACCCCAAGAACTGAGCCAGGGATCAATACTCCCGCCAAACCATAGCTTTTCTGATTGGCCCAGGCTACCAACCAATAGCCTCTAAATTCCCAAACTTTCCTCTTTTCTGACTGGACCATATTGGGGCGGGCAATAGCGCTCCACCATTCACAGCTGTAAACGTCCCGGAATAAGCATTACTTTATCTCCGGGGGTGGACACAAACAAGTTTGCTTCCTTCAATTCTGACTCTTATTTACCCAGAAACCCCACGCTCGGCGGACATCTTTACTTTGGGAAGAAAAGCGTGCTGTTTCACATTGGGCACCTTAGGGAAATATATTTTCGGCAATAAATTAAATTTGGCTACACTTGGATTGAGGGCGGCATTTTAAATTTTCAATAGGCTTCTAGTTTGGTTTGAAGGTGGGTGTGTAGCTTACTTCCGCCCGAGTCCAAGGTGGCGAAACCAAAGCCCGGAGGGCTGTAGATGCATTCTGGGTAATGTAGTCAGCAAGGGGAATGGACCCTACCAAGTTCATCTGGAGGGGAGTACTTTCAAAAAATTTTAAATTAATTTTAAAACTCTCTGTATATAAGCAAATAAGCTATTGAAAGATATGTTAATGTTTATGTTGAGTAATTTTTAGACCCTAAGTCTTTGCCTAGCTTTTTCCCTTTACACCCGACGGCCTCTGCTCCCCCTCTGTGGGGCTCGGATCGGGTACTTCCGGTGAGGTTCCAGAGAGTCTGGGTTTCTGTGAGGCGGCTGCAGTTGTAAAGAGAGCTCCTCCAAGGTTCCTATCCTAACGTTCCTCAGAGAAGCGGCCTCTGCGAAGCGGTGTCCAAAATGGTAAGCGCGGCTGGGCAGCAGTCGGGAGCTGGGAATGAGGTTAGGGCTCAAACCGGTTCCCAGTGAGGCGGGACGGGCCGGCGGCGCAAATGCCGAGTCACCCGGGCCTGACTCCGGCCCGCCAGCCAGTCCCGGGTGCTTGGGGCGAGAGCCGGACGGTTGACCACCAGCCGCATCCGTTTGTCTCCACTTGTCCGGAATATGATTTGCCTTCCCTCTTAGCTGGGCTTGAGTTCCTTGTGTGTAGGAAAGATCATACGTTCGTGTCCACCTATATGTCTTATAAGTGCTCGACACGCAACAGGTTTCCATAAACCCAAAATTAACTAGAAAGTTAGGTGTAGGGGATGTAGCTCAGCGGCACAGCGCCTGCCTGGCAAGCGCAAGGTCTTCAATTCGATTCCCGGTACAAAAAAAAAAAAAAGTGGTGGGAGTGGGGAACAGAATCACGCACTCCCTAGGGGAATCCTCATGGGCGTGGCGGACATCCGGCTGTTTGCCCCAGTTCGGTCTGCTCTGTGCATCTGGGTTCATGCCTGCCGATATACACAGTAGTGTTGTGTTCAATAGTGACGAACGCAGCTAATATTTTCTGGCGCTTTTTCTGTCATACATGTCGTCCCTCAGCACATTTTATCCCGTGTAATCTCTACAGCCCTCCTGGACACAAGCATGACTATTGTCATCTTACGCCAGAGAAAACTAAAGTTTTCAGAGAGCGTTTACTCCAGGTCACAACAGTGAGGAGTGGAGATTTGAACCCAAGACTGGGTGCAATAAAGGAAAATAAAACGTGGAGTCAGAAGTAAGCAGGGAAAGCAGAAGGTCAGGTTCATAGGAAAATGAACTGGAGATGGCTTGTTAAGGATGTTGCATACTTTTTGTACACTTTTCCTCTTTCATATTTTTGGAAGGTAAGAAATGGCTTAGGTGGAGTGATGTAATGAGAGGATTTTTTTTTTTAATGAGGATTTTTGATGAGGCCCCCACTCCCCTGTCTTCAGTCATCCAGAAAGTGTTTCCTTTGTTGTACTTTTATGCAAGATTGAGTTGGACACGGCACTTGAGAAAGACAAAATGATTGAAAACTACTGTGCTAGAGCTCTAGGTAGTGAAGAATCGCGTTTTAGGGAAATAGCTGATTCAGCTTGCTAATTTTGTAATTACAAGTATAACTACTTATCATTAGATACTTTCCTCGTCATTTTTACCTCTTCACAGACCCTGGCAACCACGATTCCACTTACTGAATCTATTTTAATTGTTGTAGATATATTACCTGAGTGGAATCATTTGTATAAGTCTATTTATGATTGTTGTATTTCACTCAGCGTAATGTTCTCAAGGCTCATCGTTGTGACAGAATTCCCTTACTTTGTAAGGGTGAACTATATTCCACTATATGTATGTAACACAATGTCAGTGGACATTTGAGTTGCTTCCACGCTGTGCTATTATAATAGTGCTGTTATGAGCAGGAATGTTCCTGCCCTTCAGTTATTTTGGATGTATACCCTGCTGTGAGATTTTATATTCTCTTCTCAAATGTCATAGTATTTGAAGTACTTTAAGAAAACGCCAAGTTGATCTATAACATGTTGCCAAGCCTGGTCTTAGTCCACATATTAAGAGCCAAGATCTTACCTTTTTATGTCTTGATCTTGCTTGTTGATGTGAGAAAGCATTGTACTGTGGCACAACATTCATACCTCCTGCATGCTGTGAGAGCATGCTAGAGAGGCACTAGCACAGGCCCAGGGGCAGAGCAAAGGAGGCTTCCTGGAGAAAGGAAAGGATGGTAACTGAATGCCAGGGAAGGAGTGCAGTCTGGAATGCCTTTTCTTATTTCTTTCCTGCTCCCTTCCATGGGATGTGGGTCATAACCTGTTAAAATATCATTTCCAGGAACTCTGTGTCCCCTTATCCTACTTCTTGTCTTAAAACTACCTGACATGTTTTTTTTTTTTGCATATCTCCCTTTCTTAAACATCAGGTCCACCAGGGCAGAGGTGGTATCCGTTGTGTTAGTGAACAGACACCATTAGAGTTATGTTGTCCTGGTGTCCAAATCAGAGCCTGGCAGATAGTAGGTACTCAATAAAAAGAGATAATTATCAATTGATAAGTGTCTTTTAAAATTAGTGGAAATAGGAGATGGGTTCCAGGTGGAAGAGTTAGTCCACGTAGGAGCCTGGCAGGTTGGGCGACTATGGGATGGTCAGTAACAGATCTCTGTGATGTTTACAGGAGGTTCAGTCTTGATCCTGAGAATGGGAGCAGCCCTGAAAGACATAAGGGTACCTGTTGTGTAGCCAGCTTTACATTTTAATATGTTTTGTCTAAAGGTAGTAAAATCATATCTGAGGGATGAGTCTGAGTGAAGCAGAAAGAATTTGAAGTGTACTACTACTGAAGATATCAGAACGTTCTGGTTAATCAGGATTTCAGTACATTGTGTTCTTCAACCACGTTTAGCAGTATTAATGACCTGGGCATGTTTTGTCTTTTGGCTTGAAGAAATGTATGTTTGTGACAGGCACAGTGGCTCTCACCAATAGTTTCAGCTACTTAAAACTAGCCTGGGCAACATAGCAAGACGCTACCACTAAAAATAAAAAGAAATGTGCCTTTTTTCTGTTCTAATGCCAGTTTTTCTTTCCTTCTTCTAGTTCTCTTTCAACATGTTTGACCACCCAATTCCCCGGGTCTTCCAGAACCGCTTCTCCACGCAATACCGCTGCTTCTCTGTGTCCATGCTCGCAGGGCCTAATGACAGGTCAGATGTGGAGAAAGGAGGGAAGAGTATGTGCTTGTTTTTATTTTGAATAGTAACCTTTCCTGCCCTAAGTCTGTGAAGCTTGTACCTTTCCCCAGCCCATACTTTGCATGTGAGCACCAGAAGCTATCCTTATAGTAAAAACGTCACGTATCTCAGACTCACTGAGTGGGCATGGGTGGTGGGAGTAGAGTGCTGATTAATAGATTTGTGATGAGGAAACATTCAGTCCCCCAAAATAAATCATTTAAGTAAGATTCGTTCAGAAAGACCATTATGAAATTCTGCCTACCCTAAAAATATTGCTTAAAACTTCTTTTATTTGTTTTGTTTTTTTGTTTTGTCTTTTTGAGACAGAGTCTTGCTATGCAGATCAGGCTGGCCTTGAGCTCACTTTGTAGCCCAGCCTGGTCTGAACTCTGCCTCAGCCTCCCAAGTGATGGGATTACAGGCGTTCTGGGATTATAGGCATGCATCACCACGCCCAGCTAAAACTTCTTTTAAATATAAAAGAAACTACCCCTTTGCCCCTGGTCTATCTTTTTGGTTTTTATCTTCTTAAATTTCTCAAATATTCTTTCCACAGTAATTATGCCACCGTCAGCCCTCGATCAACTCAGTAAGTATTTTCCAAGTAACTTAAGAACTTTTGTAATATAAATATGGACTCCGGAAATCAACATAGGCTCTTCTGTGCATGTAGACACACATAGGTGACCTTTGTCCACATCTAGTCAAGATTCATCCCTGGAGGTTACATGTTGGGCTGGGAGAACCAGTTATATGTGCCGGGACAAGGTGATGTGTGGTCGTGGCCTACTGTGCAGGCCTAGGCCAGTGAGCACTCCACTTCCCCACTGCATGGACCTTTCAAATCCATCCTTTATGAAGGGAGTTCCTCTCTCTGAACTACCTCCAGCATGTCTCAGGAATCTCTTAGACTTAAATGAAGGTACCAGGATGAAGTGCTTTACAGTGCTGATGTAGTTCGTGCTGTTGGCTGAGCTTATGGGCTTTTGTTCTAGAGGACAAGATGGTTGGTTCATAAGAGGACAGTGCAAGGCTTCCTTCTCTCCTCTCCAAACATCTGTCCTGAGCCTTGTACCCACATTTCTCACCCCCAGTGTGCCACTGCATCCTGAGCAGGTTAGATTGAGCCATCATCTTCTCCCCTTCCTAGGCTCTCATCTATTAACAGCAACAACTAAGGCCCAGCCACATATTTCCTCTCTTTCCCCCAAACGCATATCTCAAGAGAGCAACCAAGAAACCCTATGCTGCAGATATGGAGAACTCTAATGGATAGCCCCAATCTTGCCTTTTAAAACTTGGATGTGTTTCTACTTTGAATTCCTCCTATGGGACATAGTGGTGGCTTGTGGAGAACCTGTGCTGGCTCTAGGGTCACTGTGCTTAGCTTTTGCATCTTGTCCAACCTGACTCTAGATTAATAACTTGGCTCGGGGCTGGAAATACAGCTCAGTGGCAGAAGTGCCTGCCTGGCAAGTGCAAGGTCCTGAGTTCAATTACTAGTGCCAAAAAAAATAAACAACTTGGCTTACCTGGACCTCAGTGTTGTCTTCCTTAACCAGAGACATCCCAGCCCTTGTGCATTGGAGCTGTTGTGGCATGAACATAAACAAACCAAGCCCATCTGATTCCAGCCATGAAGTGGGAGGCAACCCTTGAGCTGTGGTCATACCCTGTCAAGTCCTTGGCTCAGCAGCAGGTGGATAGAGCCATGGGGATTACAGCTGTAGTAATACTCATAGACCTGTCATTGCAAAGAAAGAACAATGCTCTAGAGGGGCCTTGTTTTTAGGGTGAGCTGAAAGGAACCAGGCTGTGGATGTGACCCTTGGTACAAG